CCCTTGCCCCCTCTCTCTCAAGTTTTAAAATTTTTCATTATTCCTCCTATATTTTTTAAAATTTTTATTATTAACCTCTAACTTTTCAAAACACCAAATGTGTAAATATCTCACCTTAATGTATTCAAAAACATCAATAACTTAATATTTAGTAACCATTTAGGATGTAATCACATGAATGAGTGTACTGATGAAGATACTTGTTGAATTATTTTGATAATGTAGAGAAAAAATAAGTGACTTTTTTTATGAAAAAAAAGTATGGAAATAAATATGGTTTATATCAAAATCAGTAGGTTGACTTATAATTCATTTTTATTATGATATCATATGAAACTATTATTTGCAACCTTGATTTATAAGAAAAAAAAAAGAGAGGAGATTATCCCAAATGAATTTTTATGATGACTTGAACAACTTTTGAGTTTTGTGTTCAAAAATAATTTTTTCAATGTCATTGCATAAAAAATGAAATTTAATAATTTTTTTATAAATAAAAATTTATCATTGACAATGACAATCGAATAAACCTATTGAATTAAATTTTTGTCTATGTTATTGTTGGTCCTCTCAAGATAAAATTCTGATTCCATCCCTAACAATATTATTGTATGGTTAAAACAACATTGAGAGTGGTATCTTCGTATATAACATTATTCTAATCAAGGATATGAAACTTATATATTATAAACTGAGGAAAGATAATACAATACATTAAATATAATTACCTTTTCTTTTTTTGGGAAAGTAAAATATAATTACTATACGGTAAAACAAATCGGATACTTGTACACTATTACTCTAATCACAACGAGATTCACATGAGACATTTAGGTGGTTGTTGCCTACTTTGACAACCAATCAGTTGACCCACCGTTTGCCTGGAAATGTTAGCGTGGAATGTTGGTGGTAGTTAAATGAGTCTATTTAATACTGTCGGATGAATTTATTAAAATCTGCTCTATTTTATATTATAAATTAGTATACGAAGTGCTTTGCACGTGAATATATTTAAATAATAATTTTTTATAAAAAAAATTAAAATAAATTGATAATTTATTTAAATAATAAATTGTATTTCGAATAATTAAATCTGATATTAATTATTACTAAATCTTTTTTTTTTAATTTTTTTTGGGAGGAGAAGGGGAAGAGAGAGAAGGACTTAAACCATTGACCTCAATAAGACAAATTGTTACAAAATAAAAAGTACCATTAGACCAAAGATCCATTGATAATTATTACTAAATCTAACTATTGATCTACTCTACTCTTGGTTGGGCACTTAATTTGTCATTTTTATGTATGTTCCCAACTTCTTTAAACATGTTTTTATTGTAAAATTATCATTCTTAAGTATTTTTATATTTAAATATATTTTTATATTTTATTATCCAATAGATTGATAAAATTATAAACTATTATTTGTATCATAATATTATGATATTGTTGCATAAAAATAAATAAATATGACAAATAATTGACAGTAAAATTTAATTTTCAAACACAACATATACAATAATATAATATAGATTAGATTTTATTATATATATATTATATGTAGTAACCAATAAATGAGTTCAAAAGAATTTAGAAGTCAAATAATACTATTAAAAGAGCATAAAAGAACTTATAATTCTAATAGCTATAGAAAATATTAAAATTGGATGAAAGCAAATATGTGTGTATAATTTACTTTATTATAATAATTAAGGATAAAATAAAAAATCAAAATTTTTTCACAGATGCAGACATTTATAAGTAGTATAGATTAATATCTAACTATGACACTAAAAACTTCTTGTTATTTTTCTCTCATTAAAACTTGATATGTATAAAATTGCTTATTTTATTACGTCACTTTATTTTATTAATTTTGTTGGAACAAAATAATTTGTAGGTATAAAAATTTGTTTTTTGGTTTATTTTGAACCTAAATTAAAGCGAGACTCACTCATCATTTTGAGTAATTGTTTTTGGATTAATGTTCTACTTCGTGAGGAGAATATCAAAGTATCCCAAGTTTATTTTAAGGGTTGGGCTCCGAAGGGCACCCCACTTTTGTGAACAAAAGAGGACCTAGATAGACTTGAGTTCAATAACACGTCCCTCTGCCTGCCCCGATCGGCCCTAGTGTGGGAGTGGATTGGGTTAGATCCAATCTCATATTTTTGGATAAAATTATTTTGCTACATGGGTCCTTAATTTTTTATCCGAATTTAATTTTTCTGTCCGTTGCATTTCAAATTCGCACTGGTTTGAATTGAATTATTTCGTGGCTGTTCATCAATAGACATCTATGGTGCCTTTCCTGGGTTGCATCTGGTAAGTGTTGCTTATTGTGAACAATCACCTCTGCATCTATAAGGTAGGTTTTTTTTTTTTTTTTTGGTTAATTGGTGAAAAGTTGTTCATTGGTAAAATCAATTGAATAGTCGAATAAAATAAAAGTCAATTGATACATCAAACAAATCAATTAACAGAATAACTCAAACATATCAATCTTTCATACTCCATGATAATTGAACATACTCCATGATAATTGAACTTGAACAATTGACTTAATCTAATTACCACATGGAGGTTATAGCAAGCTGACTTCATAAAAGATAGTCGTGAATTTCAGACATACACAATGGCAATTTGGAAAATTGTGAAAGAATGATGACCTTTTTACATCTTTGAGCCAACCTCGATGTTTCCATCTCCGCCAGGCCATGGGACAAAACTTTCTATTTTTCAAGTGTCCATAACCTTATAAATATACTCTCAATCTCGACACTCGCCCACCAAACTCTCTCTCTCTCCCTCCTCATCCACCAATCTCTCTCTCTCTCTCTCTCTATCTCCTGAGCTACCAAAATCCGAAGCCTCCCTATCCTACTGAACTTTCAGAATCTTCTCTCTCAACTTCAACATTCTCAGCTACCAAAATCTCCCAAGCCTGTCTCCTAGTGAACTGTTTGGGACTCAAATGGTCACCATGAAAGCAATCCAACCTCACCTCCCATCCGCCATCGCCAACACCAATGGGCTTTGGAAAATTTATGCCAATCAAGAAACTGCAATCGATTTTCGCCCACATCAAAAAACTTCTAGCCGGTCCAATCGTCTAGCCTAATCACTCTCTCACCTCCTACATCTACATGTTGAGCCACCAGCCCAAAAAGGCCTCCACTATACTAATGAGAATTTCAAAATTGAGGACAAGCACAACACTCCAGTTATGTCTCCTAAGGAAGACATATCAGAAAAATGGCGCGAAATTCAAGGTGGTTATGAGTGGGACAATCTTCTTGATCCTCTTCACCCGTGGCTTTGATGAGAGATTGTGAAATATGGAGAGTTCGCGCAAGCAACGTATGATGCCTTCGATTTTGATTCATTTTCGGAGTATTGTGGGAGTTGTAGATATAATGAAAATAGACTTTTTGATAAATTAGGCCTTAATAAGCATGGCTATAAGGTGACTAAGTACATTTATGCTATGTCACATATAGATTTGCCACGGTGGCTTGAGAGGTCTCACTTGGTGNGTTATAAGGTGACTAAGTACAATTATGCTATGTCACATATAGATTTGCCAGGGTGGCTTGAGAGGTCTCACTTGGTGGACAAATGGAGCAAATACTCAAATTGGATGGGATTCATAGGAGTCAGTGATGATAATGAGTCCAGACTGCTTATGAACGCCTACAGGTGCATTGCCTCTCCTCACTGCTTATGAAGCTGCTTCCTCTCTCCCTGGCCTTCATGTTAGCATTATATCATTCGATGCGCCTAGGGTTCGGAACATAGCTTTTCGAGATGAGTTGCACCAAATGGGAATAAAAACACTACGCACTGTAGGTAAGCAAGATTTAGTCCCTCGCATGCCCGGGCTTGTTTTCAATGAAAGCCTACAGAAGTTTGATGACATAACTGGAACACTAGACTGGGTTTACACACATGTTGGAGCTGAATTGAAGCTTGATGTATGGTCTTCTCCTTATCTCAAACACAGATTTAACGCCTTAGGGTTCCATATGCTGGAGACTTACCTTCATCTAGTAGATGGGTTCCACAGTAAGACCTCAACATTTAGGTCTGATGGTAGAAGGGACGTTGCTTTGGTGAACAAGACCTGTGACATGCTTGTGGATGAACTGAGGATTCCTCATTTTTGGTACCAACTGGCCAACAAGGGATTAGAATGCAATGAACATGGCAGGTGGGTTAAACCCAAAAGAGACCCAGAAGACATACCTTTTCCTACTAGCCAAACACACACCCACGTAATTGAGATGCAGGAGAATTATGGACTTATACCATTGTTCAGTTTATAGACACTGAACTTTGTTATTTAATTGTGGGTAGTGTAATTTTTTCTAGTAAATAAATAAAATATATAAATTTCCTATGAGAAATTTTCAAAGCCAACATTGGCAAAATAGCTGGCACCCATCAAGGATGCACACACAAAAAAAAAAAGCCAATCTAGTAGGAGTACTGATTACTTGGTCAGTACTTCAACAGATTGAGTTCATACACCATTCCAACCACAAAAGCAAATAATATCAGCTAGATGAATTAGCAGGGGAGATATGCCATATCAAAAATATGACATTGTTCTGGGAATGTTCTGGACCTGCAAGGTGATCATTATGCATCTTAGCACCTCTATAATGTAATTTTGGTAATGTCTCAATAATTAAAAATTATCGGTGATGTCAAATTCTTTGCGCAAAGAATGTTTGATGTATATTTTTCAAAATAATCTATATATACATGTTATGATGACTTGTATTCCAAGTCCATGGATCCAAATAAATCTGATGGCGTTAGTGTTTATGTTAAAAGCCATCTTAGTAAGAGTTCAAAAAATAGTTGGACACTTTGGATAAGGATCAAGAGTCGTTGTCTTTCAATAAAAGTTTGTTTCATTATTTAATTGGAAAAAATTTTGGTTGGGTCAATACATGAAGTCTTCCTTATTTATTAAGACTTTGACTATCTGAAGTATTCTTTACATATAGAAGTCTTTTGGATATTAACAATGCTATATCCACCAAATTATTTACCAACTTTTGAATCCCAAATCAATATAAATCATAGGATCAGTAGATTCCACAAACTATCACTAACCATCCAATGGCTATCAATGAGACACATCATTTGACATGCAAAAATTTGGTGAAAGTGTTGGGGACACATCATTTCCTTTTGGATATTGGCAATAGGCATTCAGCTTTATTGAAAAGCTCGACGACGACAATTTGGTGTGTGTGATATATTGGGTATGCTCTATTTGTTTGTGGGTATTCTTTGAGAAAGCCAATATTGGTTAAAGAATATTTTTGGCACTATTAATCTTGTAATAGTGATAGAGCAGATAGACGTTTTCTTGTTGCCTTTATTTCAAGAACTTTTTGTAATCTCCAACCTTTAATAATGAAATCTTACCGCTGTATTTCATTCATGGATATAGGTTTTCTTGCTGAGCCGAACCACGTAAATCTTGTGTGTTCTATTTTTCTATTTTGTTGCATTATTATTTTACTTGTGGCATTGGTTCATAAAAAACTGGTATTAGAGCTATTGGTTTCGGGATGGTTGTTGCAAAATTAAAAAAAAGAAAATTTTCCTGGTCAAAACAATTTTAGTTTATGGAAGATTAAAATGAAGGCATTGCTTCATCAGCAGGATTTGGCAAAGGGCAGTGATGGATCTCTATGCATAGAGACATATCAGACTAAAGTAATTGATACTTAAGATAAAACACACAATGCAATTCTCACCCAAAATCAAATCATAAAGACAAAGGAGAGAAAGAAATTTAAGTACTGGTTGTAGTGAAGCGAGTGAGGCAGTGTTAGTGGGGGGAGACATTGATTGTTGTAACCGTGAGTAGCAACGGTGACGGTGGTGGTGATATAGTTAATGGTGGGAGAGTGGCGGGGGTGGGAAGATGGCGGTAACGGTGGTGATGGTAGTAGGGATGGAGGTTGCAAGGAGGGGGTGTTGGTGGGGTGGTTATAGTGGTGATGACTATGACAGTGGTGGTGGTGGGACAATGGTGGTGATTGTTATGGAAGAGGTAGTGGTGGGGTGGTGGTGCTTGGGATGGGGTGGTGGGGTGATGGGGGTGGTGGTGGTGGGTGTGTTGGTTGTGGTGGTGGTAGTTGTTGTGGCAGAGATGGTGGTGGGGTGACAATGGTGGTGGTGGTGGTGGTGATGGTGATGGTGGTGAGCGTGTGGTGGTAGTTGTAGTGGTGGTGGTGGGGCGATTCCAACCACTACTTTTTTTAAAAATATATATATATATNATTGAAAAAATCATATAAGAAAACCAATTAATTTAAAAACTAAAACTCAGAAATTTTAGAGTTTTTTATATTAGAACTCTTTCTCTTTCTCTCTCTTTATATTTCATACACACACACACATATACATAACTAAATTCAAAACGTAAATAAATTAATTTGAAATCTTTCTCAATTCTTTCTAAAATTCTTAAATTTTAGGATTTTCTTATATTAGAACCATTTCGTTCTCTCTCTCTCTCTCTCCTATACATATATATATATATATATATATATATATATATATATATATAATTATGAGAAGTTAGAAGTTTTAAAAACATTTTTAAAAAATTACTCCAAACATATCCTTAGGGGCCTATTTATCCTATTAAATTTGAGATGTTAATATTAGCCGTTAGATTAACTTTAAAGTAAAAATGAAAGAGATCTCAACCGCGAAAAATAAAAGTCATTTTGTTTATTTTTTGAGATTTAAATTGTATTGTACTTTATTATATATATTATTTGCAACTTTGATTTATTTATAGGCATAAAGTTATATTATAAACAAGAAAAAAGATAGGAGATTATCCCAAATGAATTTTTATGATGACATAAACCACTTTTGAATTTTGTGTTCAAAAATAATTTTTTCAATGTCATTGCATAAAAATTAAATTTAATAATTTATATATATATATATAAATTTATCATTGACAATGACAATTGAATAAACCAATTGAGTTAAATTTTTGTCTGTTATTGTTGATCCCCTCAAGATAAAATTCTGATTCCGCTAAAACTTGATATGTATAAAAATTGCAAATTTTATTATGTCACTTTATTTTTTTAATTTTGTTGGAACAAAATAGTTTGTAGGTATAAAAATTTGATTTTTGGTTTATTGAACTTAAATTAAAGCGAGGCTCACTTATCATTTTGAGTAAATTTTTTTGGTTTGTATTCTACTTCGTGAGGAGAATAATAAAGTATATCCCAAGTTTGTTCTAAGGATTGAGCCTCAAAGAGCACCACACTTTTGTGGATGAAAGAGGACCTAGATAGACTTGGGTTCGATAACATGCGTGCTGCTGCCGACTCTAGCCGCCCCTGGTGTGGGTGTGGATAGGGTTGGATCCAACCTTATATTTGTGGATAAAATTATTTTGCTAAATAGTTCCTTAATTTGTTACCCGAATTTAATGTTTGCTATCTGCTGGAATTCAAATTTTCACTGGTTCGAATTTTAATTATTTCGTGGTTGTTCATCAATAGGCATCTCTGGTGACTTTCCTGGGTTGCATCTGATCTGTGGTGCTTATTGTGAACAATCACCTCTGCATCTATAAATATGTCCATATTCATTCAACATTAATAACTTGCACATTTTGTAATATATAGTCATTATTTTCAAACTCTTCATCATTAAAAGTGTCTATTTTTTTAAGTACGTAATATAATTTCTGGTTTGGTGTGCAAACAAATTGTAGTACTTTTTCTTTTTACGTGATCACTATATCATGAGAAATATATGCTCAAGAATCCATAAAAATCGGAGTGGAGACAAAATTTGTCCTAGAGATAAAGTATCAAACACTATCCTTGACCATATTTTTTATCTGTTCATGTTTGTCAATTGTATCAATTTTTTTTGTTATTAATATTTTATTATTAATTGCATGATTCATATCAAAAATTCAATAAGTATTAAGCATATATGATATCAACCTGTCAATTTCAATAAACGGTCACAGATACAACAAAAGAAAATATAAGTCTCAAAATTATTTGTAGATATTTGTGTATATTGGTCTTCACCTATTGTCATGTCTGCATTTTAAAAGCAATGTTATTTAGACTCCAAAAATTAACACGTCAACGATCACAACTATTGAAATGCAAGTAACATTACTCGTGTTTTTTTAAGGATGTGTTTATTTCATATGCCAAACACGCTTTGAAAGACTTACTATTATAAGTATAAGAATAGATTTTAAGATTCCCAATGTGGTCCATGTGACACATGAGAACACGAAAATATTAGTGATTGCGTGTTGAAAATCCAAACCTAGTTTGCCTATTGGTCCGAAGCCTAAAAATAAAGAAAAGAAAAGTTGATGGCTACAAGAAGTCTTGACGAAGAGTTGATGATGATAGAAATACAAAATTATTCTTCTCCTCAAACAAAACTACGCAAATGCCACTGCTAACTTGGGGAGATTTTAAGGTAGGTTTTGTTTATGTTTTTGTTTTTTTTGGTTTCTTGGTGAAAAGTTGTTTCCTTGGTAAAATCCATTGGACAGTCGAATAATAAAAAATAAAGTGAATTGATACATTGAATAATTGACTAAGAGTTAATTTAGTTGTGACGGTAAAGTTATTTTATTGTGAAATGAATGTTAATTTTTTGGATCATAGAAATAATTTCTCTGCATACAAGAAAAAGACTACGTACATTTAATTTTGCTCAAATTCCAAATAATGATTGAACCCTGGTCCACAAGGCCGGATTTTTTTAAATATATTTATACAAACTATGAATGTAACTGAGTATAGAAGAAATGAGTAAAGTGAGTCATAAGATATACTTATATCTAATACTTAAAGTGACTAATAGTTTTTAGATCTTTTATGGAAGGGAGTATTACACACTAGGTTTTTTGTAATGAAAAATTCTATCTTACTCCATGATAATTGAACTTGACCAATATTATAAGGATTTAATTTGGGGACGTAGAGATGCAACTTCAATGTAATTATTTATTACCGAGGTGATAACAAGCTGACTTCAAAAAAGATTGTCTTGAATTTCCGACATACACAGTGGCAGTTTGGAAAATTTTGAAAGAATCATGACCTTTTTACACCTTTGAGCCAACCTCGATGTTTCCTTCTCCGCCAGGCTATGGCACAAAACTTCCTACTTTTCAAACTGCACATAACCTTATAAATATACTCTCAATCTCAACACTCGCCCACCAAACTCTCTCTCTCTCTCTTCCCAGCTACCAAAATCCGAAGTCTCCCTCTCCTACTGAACTCTCAGAATCTTCTCTCTCAACCTCAACTCTCTCAGCTACCAAAATCTCCCAATCCTCTCTACTAGTGAACTGCTTGGGACTCAAAATGGCCACCATGAAAGCAATCCAACCTCACCTCCCATCCACCATCGCCAACACCAATGGGCTTCGGAAAATTTATGCCAATCAAGAAACTGCAATCGATTTTTGCTCACATAAAAAAAATTCTAGCCGTCCAATCGCCTAGCCGAATCACTCTCTCACCTCCTACATCTACATGTTGAGTCACCAGCCCAAAAAAGCCTTCACTATACTAATCAGAATTTCAAAATTGAGGGCAAGCACAACACTCCAGTTATGTCTCCTAAGGAAGACATATTGGAAAAATGGCGTGAAATTCAAGGTGGTTATGAGTGGGACAATCTTCTTGATCCCCTTCACCCGTGGCTTCGACGAGACAATGTAAAATATGGCGAGTTCGCGCAAGCAACGTATGATGCCTTTGATTTTGATTCATTCTCGGAGTATCGTGAGAGTTGTAGATATAACGAAAATAGGCTTTTTGATAAATTAGGCCTTCATAAGCATGACTATAAGGTGACTAAGTACATTTATGCTATGTCACATATAGATTTGCCTCGATGGCTCGAGAGGTCTCACTTGATGGACAAATGGAGCAAAGACTCAAATTGGATGGGATTCATAGGAGTCAGTGATGATAATGAATCCAGACGAATAGGGCGAAGAGATATAGTAGTGGCCTGACATGGCACAGGGTCACCATCAGAGTGGTATGAGGATTTTCAAAGGAAGTTAGACCCAATTAGGCATGGGGAAGCAAAAGTGGAACGTGGGTTTCTTAGCATTTACAAGTGAATCAACTAGGTACAACAAGTCTAGTGCCTCGGAACAAGTTATGAAAGAAGTGAAGAGGCTAGTGCAATTCTACAATGCAAGAGGTGAAGAAGTGAGCCTTACAATCACTGGACATAGCCTAGGAGGTGCATTGGCTCTCCTCACTGCTTATGAAGTTGCTTCCTCTCTCCCTGGCCTTCATGTTAACATTATATCATTTGGTGGGCCTAGGGTTGGGAATATAGCTTTTCGAGATGAGTTGCACCAAATCGGAGTAAAAACACTGCGTGTTGTAGCTAAACAAGATTTAGTCCCTCGTATGCCCGGGCTTGTTTTCAATGAAAGCCTACAAAAGTTTGATGCCATAACCGGAACACTAGATTGGGTTTACACACATGTTGGAGCTGAATTGAAGCTTGATGTATGGTCTTCTCCTTATCTGAAACGCGGATTTAACGTCTCAGGGTTCCATATGCTGGAGACTCACCTTCATCTAGTAAATGGGTTCCACAGTAAAGCCTCAACATTTAGGTCTGATGCTAGAAGGGACGTTGCTTTGGTGAACAAGACCTGTGACATGCTTGTGGATGAACTGAGGATTCCTCATTTTTGGTAGCAACAAGCCAATAAGGGACTAGAATGCAATGAACATGGCAGGTGGGTTTAACCCAAAAGAGACCCAGAAGACATACCTTTGCCTACTAGTGAAACACACACCCACGTATTTGAGATGCAGGATAATTATGGACTTATACCTTTGTTCAGTTTATAGACACATAACTTTGTTATTCAAATTGTGGGGGGTGTAAATTTTTTTTTTGAGTAAATAGATAAAATATTTAAATTTCCTATGAAACATTTTCATAGCCAACACTCTCCAAACAACTAGCACCCATCAAGGATGCACAAAAAAAAAAATAAAAGAAGCCAATTTAGTCTGATTCCTTGGTCAGTACTTCAACAGATTGAGTTCATACATCATTCCAACCACAAAAACAAATAATGTCATGATAGGAATTAAATTATATTTCGTTTTATTAGGTGCAAACGTAAGGATTAGAAGTTATTTGTCTTTTTTATTTTCAGGGGCTTAATTATCATTTTGACTATTTATTTATTTTAGGATTTGTGCTCTCCTTATATATATATATATATATATATATATATATATATATATATATATAGGGGATACAATATTTGTTTTAGCAGAGTTTAATTATTATTGAGTACTAATATTGCTTCCTCCTCAAATTATTTTCCTTTTCTCATTTCTTTCTTCTTCTCTTCTCATCTTTAATTCTTTCCTTCCTAGTCTACATTAATTTGGTATCAGAGACCAACTTCGATTCGTACAAATCACAAAAAAAAATAAAAAATTGTTTATTGTGCACACTGTTCATCGCCACTGTTCACTGGTGATCGTGACTTTTTTGCACTGTTCTTGGTCCAATTTTGTTCCTACTCACAACCAGAAAGCATCGTCATTGTTCCAATTAGTATTTTTGCGAACCAGTAGAGTAAATTAGAGACTTTCGTTGGGTTTATCGTTTGTTTGTAATCGCTGACGACTTTCACAATTGTTGCTACTGTTTTTGATTGTCATCGTAGTCGTTGTGCTTCGTTGAAGATTGAACAAAGTCTTTGCTGTGTGCTGTAACTATTCGTGAAGAAGGAAGTAGCAGTCTTCTGTTCGTCGGAAGTCCATCGTTAAGGAAGAAGACATTGGGTTTTAACCCTTTCACCTCATAAAGTTTCAGAACTACATGAACATCCCCAAAAAGTCTAAAAAATTACAGAATCACCCCTATAATTTTAAGCAAAATGTAAAAATACCATCCAGAAGTTCCAAAATTATAGAAACCTCAGCAGATTCAAAAAATTACAGAAATAGCACCTTAGAAGTTCCAAAAATTATAGAAACACCCCAAAAAGTTCTAGAATTTGGAGGATCATCCTCTAAATTGTCAAGTAGCCTCTTGGAGTTGTATCTAACACTAGTTACAAGTTCTTTTCGTTGAGAATTGGTAACTAGTATTTATATTTGTTGATAAGTCAAAAAAAAAAAAATCTTATCTAAACTTTCTTTGTTTGTTTTTCCCACACACCACCTTCATAATTTAGCTTGCTCAATTCCATGTTAAACCAATTGTTGCTTGTCTCATGTTTATTTGAGTCTCTTTACAATAAGCTGGTTCTTGTGTGTGACCATTTGCATTGACTTATAGTTTTTATTAGTTGGTTTAATTTTTAGTCTGGTTGGCATTTTACATTAGCCCAAATTTTGTATCACATTCACTATGAACCTTCGAGAGCTTTTAGAGTTCCATACTGCACTGGAACAAAAATTTGAGACCTTCACCATTAATATGACTGACACTAAACAATTAATCAACTTGTTACAGGAGGAAGTTAAAGGAATGGGGCAACAACTTTCTCAAACGTTACTACTCAACTAGCCCAATTGACTAAGTTTATTTAAAAATGATCAATAGAGTATGACCAGAGTGAGTTACCAGTTTTAACTAAGTTCAGGCAAACACGCTATGTTAGGCACCTGCCTTTCCCGATAGAACCTATTGACTCATGTCAAGGTGTCCTACCTACTCTGCAGGTAGCTCATGGGAGCTGAGTTCAGTGTCCAGATAGGAGACCACCTCCTAATACTGGTTTTTGATGAAACGTAGGTTGTAGGAATTTTCAGGAGGACCTCGTTGAGGTAGTCATGTTTGACTATTCAGCAGATGGTTATATGGATGCTTATCGTGAGCCCTTCCGACTACGTGTCAGATACCATAGGCCTCCACTTCGGTGTTATCATAATCCTCAACATAGGCATTTACATGAAGAGTCTAGGGATATCACACAAAGAGTCAAAGTGGATGCTCATAGTTTTGATGGTAGGTTAGATCCTATTGTTTTCTTAGATTGGTTGGATGAAATGGATGACTATTTTGATTGGTATGATATGTCTAACCACCATCAGGTTCATTTTTCTAAAAATGAAACTCGTTGGTTTGGTTAAAAGATATTGGCAGGGAGTCCAACAAGACCAAGAGCGCTTAGAGGGACAACCAATTACTTTATGGGCTGAGATGAAACAATGATTGCGAGATAAATATCTCCCTAGTTACTATAAGTGTCAACTCTTGGACAAGTGGATGAACTTGCATCAATGGACCTCGAGTGTGATTGATTACCTAGCTAGATTTGAAGAACTCTTTATGAGATGTCACATAAATGAAGAGTCTTGCGTAACAACTACAAAATTCATTAATGGTTTGAGACTTGAGATTAAGAGAGAGATTAACTTATACTCTCCTAAAATGGTTGAGGAAGCAAATTATAAAGCCTTAGAGATTGAAAAATACCTTAGGCTACCCTTTCAGCATCGTATGCCTTCTCAAACTAGAGAGCCTCAACCATTGAGGTCAGTCCCATTTGATAAGTCTCGAGGCGTCCCCTAGTCAAGACCTGTCACACCCACGGGTAACACTTACCCCAACTCGAGAGGTAATGCCACTAGGGGTCAAGACTCTAAACTCATGGGTTCTCACTAGGATAGTCCTTACATAGAGTGTCACCATTGTCATGGCAAGGGTCATATTGCTTCACAGTGCCCTTAGTGTACCATGACCATTGACCAGGGGTTAGGGAATTCACTTGATGGAGAGGATGTTGACCAAGAAGTTGTTCCTTTAGGTGGGGAACCCCTAGAGTTACTAGATGAAGGTGAGGAAGAATGGTAGAACGATGACACCTATGTCAGTGTGATGAGATGCATCTTATCCATCCCTTTAGTCACAGAAGCATGGAAACGCACTAGCATTTTCCATACTTTAGTCCAACGTGGGGGTCAAGTTTGCAAGGTCGTTATTAATGGGGGAAGTTCATTGAATGTTATCTCTAAGTCGACTGTAGCTCAGTTGCAGCTTAAGCCAGAGTCACACCCACAACCTTACGAGGTTGCATGGGTTGACAAGACCTCCTTGCCAATCTCTCAGAGATGTTTGGTCCCTATTCAGATGGGTGACTATTCACATCATATATGGTGTGATTTCTTACCCATGGATGTCGCTCATGTCTTGTTAGGTCACCCACAGTTTTTTGATCTAGATGTGACAAACTGTGAGAGGGACAATACCTATGTTTTTAAGCACAAGGGAAAACCATCAAGTTAAAACCTGCAAAAGCCTCATAAAGTAATAATTCAAAGCAAAGGTCATCTTTCTAGAAAATTCACAATATAGACCTTCACATCTTGACTCACAAAGAATTTGAAAAAGAGAGAAAAAGGTCTGGCGTAGTGGTAGCTCTAATTGTCAAAGAAGTTTTTTAGAGTCCTTTGGAGTCTAAGGACGATCTTGGTTGATAGTCTATTGAGAGAGTTCCATGATGTGATCCCTGAGGAACTACCCAATGAGTTGCCACCAATGAGAGATGTTCAGCATGCTATTGACTTAGTTCCAGGATCTCAATTGCCTAATCTTTCCCATTATCGTATGAATCCCATTGAGTGTGCTGAACTCCAAAGGCAAGTAGATGAAATTTTGCAAAAGGGTATGTTCGTCATAATCTTAGTCTATGTGCTATCCTTGCTTTGTTGACACTTAAGAAAGATGGATCTTGGAGAATGAGTGTTGATAGCCATGTCATTAACAAAATTACAGTCAAGTATCGATTTTCTATACCGGGACTTGAAGATATGCTTGACCTTTTGGCTAGTGCACTTTGGTTCTCGAAAATAGATTTGCGGAGTGGTTATCATCAAATCTGAATTTGACCAAGAGATGAATGGAAAACTGTCTTTAAAACCCAGGATGGACTTTATGAGTGGTTGGTCATGCCTTTTGGATTGTCTAATGCACCTAGCACATTTATGAGGGTTGTGACTTAGATATTGTGTCCTTTCCTAGGGAAATTTGTGGTGGCCTATTTTGATGATATCTTGATCAATAGTCGGTCTAACGAAGAGCACTTGGATCATCTTTGACAGCTTTTTCAGGCATTACGTGTGGAAAAATTCTATGAAAACCTTAAGAAGTGCTCCTTTATACAAACTCAAGTACTTTTTCTTGGATTTCTTATTTCTGCGCATGGTATTACAGCTCACCCAAAGAAAATTCGTGCTATTACCAGTGCCAAGAATAATTTTTGAGGTTCAAAGTTTTCATGGTTTGGCCACCTTCTATAGATGATTTATTAAGTGGTTTAGTTCCATTATGGCTCCTATCATAGGGTGCATGAAAAAAAGGGAGTTTCAAGAAGTTAGCCGTGTAGTTGCTATGTTATAGAGTATGATTGTTCATGTGATCTGCTTTGACAGGATTAGAGATGAGTATGTCTCTTGTCCTGACTTTGGTATCATTTTTTAGGATGTTCAAGCCGATAACTGTCATGAGTATATTGACTTCCTCCTTAGAGATGGTTACTTGTTTAAAGGGTTGCGCTTATGTATTCCCTGTACTTCACTTAGGGATTTACTGATTTGAGAATTACATGTGGGAGGTCTGATTGGCCATTTTGGAAGGGATAAGACATTTTCACTTGTCGAGGATAGGTTTTATTGGCCCTTTGAGGCGTGACAATATTAGGATGGTGTCACAATGTCTCACTTAG